TTTTATAAATAAATATTTTGAGTATATCTCTATGAGTATATATATATATATATATATATATATATATATATATATATATATATATATTAAATGATTTCTATCACTTAATAATAACATAACATGCTTTACCAAAGGTTTGATATAAAATTTTAGATAACTTGATTGATTATTTAAACATTTATTACAAATTTGATTCTTGGCCATGTGGGTGAGAAAAAACAATGTTGGAAGAGATTAAACTCGTGTCGGTAATTTTTAGAATTCGAAAAATAGTTTTTAACTTGCACCTTAGAGATATTCGTGCTGAAAAAAAAGTACCATGATATGCCTTTTTATTAGGGTGAGCAACGGGTGGATTCGGGTGAAAAATGTTCAATTCATTGTAAACTAACTTTGGAAAAATGTGACCTATATTCGACCGATAAGTTTTCAATTTGAGGCGGTTCGAGTTGAAATGAATTCAGATTTGAGCGGGTGGATACAATTGAGTTAAGGTTTTTTGTAGATCAAGTTATCTTAACGAAGGTGAGGTTTAAAATGGTAAAAAAAAAAAATATTTTCAAAATAGTGTACAAAAATATAATGAAGGTGACGATAGATGGTGTAGATAGATTTGTAGATGAAATATTCACAAATTAGAGAAGCAAAAACAAAAGATAACAAAATTCATAGTTGTTACATGTAAAAAAAATCTAAAGTTAGAGAACAAAATCCATAAGAAACCACGACTGCACAAGTTGTACTCAAAATAGAGGCAGAAAGATGGAAAAGAAAGACAAAATAGAAACAAAAAGAAAACTCTAAAAATGAATTAGTGTGTTAAGAAGTTTAATGAAGAAGGAGAAGACAAAAAAAGTATCCAAGTTATGAGAAAAAGAAAAAAAAAATAAGTTACAAATTGATGGTTGTATTATATTTGAAATAAAGACTTTTGAATTTGGGTCATTATTATTTAGTCAAGCAAAAGTAATAAAAATTTAAACCTTATCTAATTTTCAGTTGGGTTTGATTTTTAGCGGATTTAAAAATTCAAAACCGAATCTGCCTAATATAATCTGTATAAAATTAAAATTTTAATCAATTTTACTCATAAGACCCACCCAAACCCACTCAAAAGTAATATTTTTTATCGGGTTTTTCGGGTTCGGTTCGGGTCTCGATTTCATGTTCACCCCTACTTTTTATACGACCTAAATTAATATATAAATATATTAAATCAATTAAAAATTATAATTTTTTTATATAAAAAATGTATATATCCAAGTACACCCATAATTATTTTATCAATGACACCTTAGTCCAAAGCTCCCTCACCCTCCCTAATCCCTCCTCAAAATAGTTGTATAAGTGTGTTAACTCCATTTGATGTCTCACTATTTCAAGAATAGAACATAATTGTGCCAATATTTTCAATGATAGGAGGCGAGAAAAGTATAATGCTTCAGCTCCTTGATCCCATTAAAAAATAAAAATCCTTGATCCCTAACATGTGTTGGGGTCTAATAAAATTTGTTAATTCAAATTCAAAACAACATTAGCTTCTTGATGGAGAAGGAAAATACTAATCGATAAGATAAGCAAATTTCCCCCAATTTTTACATATGTAATACTATTTTTTTTTTTACAAACTTCTATCCTCCTTTGCTTCGAGCCTCCCTTCTTGTATGTTTGAAAACTTGGTTTCATCATATTTGACTTTATATTGATATTTGATGAGTCAACAACTCCACCTCTTATCACCTTTCCACTTGTCTTTTCCTTTCTCATTCCAACTACCTACACCTTTTTTCTTATAGTTGGTTCGAATTAACAAGATTTGTTCTTGAAAAATCTCACTATTTTTCCTTTCATTTAACTTTTTGTTCATGACCTTCAAGTAAATTTGAAAACTATTTACTTTTATTGTCTCAAGATTTTTAGATTCCTTGATTGCTACCATAATATGATCAAAATAAGAATTCAAAGTTCTCAACACATTATCGTCAATTTGTTGATTTGTAAACTTTTCATGGTAAAATTACATTGAATTAACAAGAACCTAGATTTGATTAAAGTAATAAGTTATGGACTCCTCATCATAGTTCACATTGCCTTCGTAAAGATTAAAGTTTCACCTTCTTTATTTTGTTAGCATCTGTTTGAGTTGTATTCAAAATATCTCAAGCTTCTTTTGCCAAATTGGTTTAGAAAACTTTCTTAGAATCAGCAAAATCCACACATTGATGGTTCAAGAAAAAAAAAACTTTACAATTTTTTGCTTAGACTCTCTAGAAGCTACCTTTGCGCTTCTAAAACACCTTCCTTCACTTCTTGAATCTAATTCTTTACAATTTTCAACACTTCTTGAAAACCAAAGATGACACTCATCTTCGAGAACCATTGTTCTAAGTTCTTGATACCAAAAATAGGCTAGTTTGTAGGGTTCTTGAATCTAATTCTTTACAATTTTCAACACTTCTTGAAAACCAAAGATGACACTCATCTTCGAGAACCATTGTTCTAAGTTCTTGATACCAAAAATAGGCTAGTTTGAAGGGAAAGACCCATAAAATCTAGCTATGGTTCGTCTGACTCCATGCAAGAAAAAAAATAGAAGTATTTGCAAATAGATAGAAAAACTTGCAGGAAAGTGTTTAGATTACAACAAAATGCCTCACTAACTAGTGAGTTTTGCACACACACATAGGTCCCTCAAAAACAAAAAGCTCTAGATACCAATTTATTGAAATGAAAGGATCATATTCACACATGGAAAGCGGAGAATAAAACTACATGTGAAAACTAATGAGAAAGAACTTTATTCTCATACTTAGATATTATATAAGTTCAACCTTACACTCACACGAAGTAATAACACATACACATATTTATAAAGTATAGAAACTCTAACTATCAATAGAAAATACAAACATATATTAACTAATAGACCAAACCCTAAAAGTAGACAAATGATACCTACATTATATGCTTTTAGATTGTACATACAAATTATACATGTAGACTAGGCATCCACGCTATACATTTGACTTACTTTACTCAACTACACTCTTGGTAATTTTAATAGAATTTTTTTTAATCACATTGTAAGTAATAAGTTGAGAAAGGGTGAAACAACCAAGGAATAAATTAGGCTACATTACACTTTTGATATTTTATCTTATTATTCAAATTTATGTTAGTCTTTTATATTTTAAAATGTTTATTTTAGTTCTTTATCTTTTAAATTTGGATTGATTTGGCCTTTTTGAAATAATGATTATTTTCAATTTTATAACATGATTTTAAATCATATTATGATTGATTTAAGATGTCAAACTTGTCTTGTTAGATTTACTTACATGAAAACTAAGAAATCTTACTAATATTTGAATTCAAAAAGTCTATAAACATAGTAAAACTTGTGCAAAAATTATATCCCACAAGTAACTTAAAAAAAAATTGGAGTTATAAGGTTGGTCTAGTGGTTTAAGGGAAGGGACATAGGGTTGAAGTGATAAGGAGGATATGAGTTCTAATTCCCTCTACTAACATAACTAACAATTAACATTTATCAATAAAAAAAAGTAGCTAAAAAATAATTTGAAATTATATTTTTTTAAAAAAAATTGGTTATTTTTTGGACTCATTTTCACACAACATTCACCACATTTAAGACTCTTTTTAGTTCAAATATCAGTTGTATTTAATAATTTTCATGTAGTAAATTCAATGAGACAAGTTTCAAGTTTTGAATAAGTTAAAAATTGATTCAAAATCATATTTCAAAATTGAAAAGAGATATTATTTCAAAAAAACTAAATTGATGCAAATTTAAAAGATAAATGGTCAAAATGAATATTTAAAAAAAAAGGAATAAAATAAATCTTAAAATAAAATAAACAACTAAAAGTGTGATTTAACCTAATAGAATATAGTTTACCCTTGGAATAATAATAAATAAACCTTCCATCGACCAATTTAGATATAAACTCAATTTACAAGAGTCTTATCCCCATGTTTTTTATTTCGACTAGTGGACCAATTTAGCGCACCTTGAAAATGGATTGGGTTAGGCAAAAAAAAATAATAAAGAAATTCATAATGGATCATAAAACTCAACTCGACCTCCTTTCAATCCGACTCAGTCAAGGAAAATCCATGGTGGATCAGACTATCCACCTAATTAATCCTTTTATACTTCTCATCATCCCAACTCACCAATGACCCACTTAACCATTTGTTGTTATATTTGTATTATTTTAATAAGGCATCATTTTTTTAGATAAAAATAAAGTTAATGTTAAATAACATGAAATTACTATAGATTTATTTACTCAAGCTTTTAATGAAGTTTAATATTGATGAGCAATCACTCTAATGACAAGATTTTTTTTTAATCTTTTTGCTTTGATCATTTAAAGTTGTATACTTTTTAATTAAATTTAATGTATGTAAAATGCTTAATTTGACAATTTTTATTTTATATTGAATGTTGATTTTTTTAAAAAAATTTAGATGGATTGATGGTCAGCCCATTTAATCCACCAACTTGTAGTGGGCTCGACCAAGTTGAAAAAGTTTGAACATTTCAGCAAGTAAACTGAGTTGAGCTAATTCACTTAAAAAATGAGTTGTGCAAATGAACCAGATCAATCCATTTTAGCAGCCTTACTTTAAGGTGATAATCATTTTCTCCCTTAAATTCCTTTAACTCTTTCATTATGAAATACAAAACTAATAAAGAAGATTTGAAACAAAAGCAAATCGAGAAGATAGTGAAATAAACTCATGGACAAATAATTGTATAACATGGTATCATAATAGCTCTTTTAACCACATTGACTTATTATTATTATTTATTTATGAAGAAAACGATGTGTCAATTACCGAAAATCATTAGTCATGAGCTACAGGGAAGTAATGAAAAATATATATATATATATTTTAGTAAATCTGTGTGCATGTGTGTAAGGTGAAACACAAGTTGTACAGCGAACATGTTAGGTTCTTCCAACATCTTATTTTTAAGCCACATCAATTAGCAAAATCAAAACATTTTGCCATGCAATTAAGTGCATTTTTCTAGTTACATATTAATCTTTGCAAGTTAAAGTTCTGTCAATAACGGAATAATCCATTATTTATCACTGAGATAACTTTATATACTTTTCTGAATTGATTTTAGTATTGAGTTAGTTCTTGTATCATTTGAATTCAATTAAATATAACGAGTATATTCAAAGAGTACGATGTTAATGTTAGCACTTCCCAACTAGTCAGTCATTCACAACACTGAATTAGTTTGATATATAGTTTTAATGAATTAATCTTTTTTTTTTTTGTATCTAATGACTAATATTCATATAATTAATGATTGGACTAACTAAAATTTGCCCAAAAAAAAAAATACATAAATTATAATAATAGAAATCGGTACTCACTAACTAATTCAGCAATTAAATTGAGACATTTTAAAACAACACTAGAAGATAGGAATGGAGGAGTAACAAATAACAATGTAGCTGTGACATAGACAGAGAGAGGTAGACTTAAGTTGAAACAGAAGACATCAAATATTTAGGGCAATCTTCTATAGTCAAGATACCAATGTTGGATAGAGGACCATATTGAAATTCAAACCAAGGGAAAATCCAACTGAGAGTTGGCAACTTTTTGAGGTGTAGCCAATGCAGATCTGGAAATAATAAATGCTTCCTATGTTCATCATCAATAACCATACCTCCACCACCTTCTTCACTTGTACCTTTATGTTCAAATTTAACAATCTGTTTAAGCTGAGAGCATGATTCCAAGCCTAGTGAATGCAGGGAAGGACAATGACAGGCCATGGAATAAGAGAAAATGAATTTCATTTTGTTGCACTCTTTGATCCAAATGAAGCTGAGTTTGGGGAAACAAACTTGTTGGGAGAGAGCAGTTAAGTTTTCAACTTGTGATGCTTCCTCTGAATCAAAGGAAAGTACTTCTTCCAATTCATTACATTGATCCACATTCAGACTTCCCAACTCTGGCAAGCTTCCAACAATGGTTAAGGAGAAAAGTTTTCTCAACTTGTTGCAATTTTGGATGGCAATGCTATTTAGTTTGGGGAAATAAACTTGCTGGGGAGTTGATAGGTTTCTAAGTGGTTCTAATTCCTTAGAATCAGAAGAAATTATATCCTCCAGTTTGTTGCAATTAGAAACACATAGCCTTTTTAACTCTGGTAGGCTTGAGACAATGGTTTTGAAGAAAATAGTTTTCAATTTGTTGCACCCCACAATCACAATATTATCCAATTCTGGGAGAAAGACTTGATGGGGAGGAGATGATAGGTGTCTATGTTCTGCTTCCATTGAATATGGAGAAACTATGGCCTCCAAATTGTCACAGTCGGCTACAAACAAGGATTTCAAGCTTGATAGGCTTGCAACAGTGTTTTCAAAGAAGATTGTTTTCATTTTGTTGCATCCTAAGATCCAAATACTTCCTAGTTTGGGGAAAAATACTTGTTGAGAAGGAGCAGATATGTTTCCAAGTTGCCCTGCTTCCTCTGAAGGTAAAGAAATTATATACTCCAATTCATTGCAGTCCTTAACATCAAGATGATTCAACCCTGTTAGGCTTGTAGCCAAGGTTGTGCAGAAAACTGTTTTCAATTTATTGCAATTTTCAATAGAAATAATTTCCAACTTGGGGATATAAAATTGCTGGGAAGAAGCTGATGTGGTTTGAAGATGTCTTGCTTCCTCTGAATCTAAAGATATAATTTTTTCCCATTCATTACAGTCCTTTATAACTACTCGCCACAACTCCGGTAGGCTTGCAATGGTTGCAGGGAAGATTGTTTTTACTTTGTTGCAACTTTGAATGTTAATTTCAAACAACATGGGAAAACAAACTTGTTGGGAAAAAGAATACAGGTTTCTGTTTTCACCTTTATCACAATCTAAGGAAATTATTTCCTCCCATTCATTGCAGTCCATCACAATTAGAATCTCCAACCTCGGCAGTCTTGTAACAAGGGTTGCAGAGAAGATTGCTTTCAATTTGTTGCATCTTTCGATCTCAATCTTCCTCAGCCTGCGGAAACAAACTTGTTGACAATGAGCAGATAGGTTTCTAAGTTGTCCTGCATCCACTGAATCTAAGGAAATTATTTCAACCCATTCATTGCAGTCCTTGACAACTAGCTGTTCCAACTCTGGTAGGATGCTGACAATGATTGCAGAGAACATTCTTTTAAATCTGCAGCATCTTTTAATCCTAATACATTTCAGTTTAGGAAAGAAAACATTTTGGAAAGGAACGGCCAAGTTTTTATGTTCTCCAGCTTCATCTAAATCTAAAGAAATTATTTCCTTCAATTCATCGCAATCCTTTACAATCAATTGCTCCAACTCTGGTAGGCTAGTGGCAATGGCTGTAGAGAAGATTGCTTTCAATTTCATGCATTTCTCAATCTCAGTCGTCTTCAATTTGGGGAAATAAACCATTTGGGAAGAGGCAGATAAGTTTCTAAGTTGTCTTGCTTCGTCTGAATCTAAAGAAATTATTCCCTCCAATGCATTGCAGTTCTTTACAACCAGTTGTTGCAACTCTGGAAGGCTTGTAACAATAGTTGTGGAGAAGATTGTTTTCAAGCTTTTGCAACTTTCAAGCTCAATCCTCTGCAGTTTCGGGAAACAAATTTGTTTTGAATGTGAAGACAGGTTTCCAACTTCTCTTGCTTGCTCTAAATCTAGAGAAATTATTTCCACCCATTTGTTGCAGTCCTTTACAATCAACTCAAGCAACTCTGGTAGGCTTGTAACAATTGCATCAGTGACGATTGTTTTCAATGTGTTGCATCTTTCAATCTGGATGCTTCTTAGTTTGGGGAAACAGTCTTGTTTGTGAAGAAGATATAGGTTTCTAAATTGTCCTGCTTGATCTGAATCTAAAAAAATTATTTCCTCCCATTTGTTGCAGTCCTTCACAACTAGCTGTTGCAACTCAGGTAGACATAGAACTGTGGTAGCAGAGAAGAATGTTTTCACTTTGTCGCAATTCTCAATGCTAATCCTACACAATTTGGGGAAAAAATGTGGGAAAGGAGCGGTTACATTTCTATGATTCCATGCTTTCACGGAATCAGCAGAAATTATTTCCTCCAAGTTGTTACAGTCACATATAGACAACTCTCTCAACTCTGATAGGTTTGAAACAATGGTTGAAAGGAAGATTGTTTTCAATTTGTTGCATCCTTTGATCTCAATCACCCCCAAATTGGGGAAAGAAACTTGTTGTGATGGAAAAGAAAGGTTTGGGAATTGTGTAGCTTCCTCTGAAGAAATAATTTCCACCAATTCATTGCAATTGTGTACAGACAGCTCTCTCAACTCTGGTAGGCTTGAAACCATGCTTGTGAAGAATAATTTTCTCAATTTGTTGCATCCTTTGATTAAGATTTTCCTTAGCTTGGGGAAAATTGGTTGTGAAGGCGAATACAGGTATCTAAGTTGCCCTGCATCCTTTGAATCCAAGCAAATTATTTCCTCTAGTTCATTGCATTCATAGGTACTTGTCAAGCCCTCTTGAACATCAATTGATTCAGAAGTTTCTAGTCTTGATAATGCCAATTCCCAGCCTGTACAAGTCTTTCCCTTTAAAGTGCTTGCCACTGTCAAGATGGCACAAAGCAGTCCCTGACATTTGCCAAAGACTCTCTTTGCCACCTCTCTCAAGTCTTCAGGAGAATCCTCGTCTATTTGTGCATGTTGCTTGAACAAAGTCCAACCTTCATCTTCATTTAACATAGAGAGTTCAATCATGCTTTTGCAATTCATTGAAGTGCAAACTTCTTGGTAGCGCGTAGTGAGGAGGATGCAACATCTCTTGTCATTCTCATTTAATGGAATCCCGATAGCTTCCAAGTCCAGCTTCTCCCATACACCATCAAAGATGATGAGAATCTTCTCAGTCTTTAACCTTTGAGATAACCGTAGTGCCCTGCCAAGTTCTGTCTCTTCCATTAATGAAAAAGTCAAGTGATCAGCTATTTGACCTTGAATATCTCTCACTTTGACATCTTGAGACACAATTGTCATAACCACCTTGTCAAAAAACTTTGACTCCTCTACTTGCTTTCCCACCACTCTTGCTAAAGTGCTTTTACCTGAACCTCCCATGCCAACTACTCCAATCACATTGATCCTCTCATCTTGGATTGCCTTCAGTAGATCTTCATAAACTGGCTTCCTAGAATCCAATGCCACAAAGTCTTTGGGAAAGAAGTAACTCATGCTTGAGAGGTCAATGGGGTGTGAAAATGGCTCAAATTTGTTATTGTTATTGAGCAGGTTCATTTGTTGTGTAACGAATATCACCTCTTTTGCCAGAGAATACTTAAATGTCATGTTCAAACAGCATTGGCTTTCTTCCACCCTTTCTTCCAGCCTTTGCGCATCTTCAAGAATCTTCTGCACATGATTCAGCCACTCTTCAACAGGTTGCACAATCTTCTCAGCATTTGTGGTGGCTTCTTTAGCGCGTTCTTTCATGTGCTGTAATGCCTTTTCTAACCCTCTCTTTGACTTTCGAAGATCAATGACAGATTTGTTGAAATGAATTAAATACTGTGCACGGAATACAATTGCATCCACCACACGCTCTATTATTGAAGATGCCACAGCAGTACCAATTTCGGCCATTTTCCTGCACCTAAAAAACATTATTTATCTCATCGTTGTGTATATATGATATATCTATGACTAGAACTCTAGTTTTCACAGGTTTCTATTGAGACTCCAATAGTTATTGAATGTATAGATTTTCTCAGACAATAGCCTTCTAGAGATTATACAGTGTTCTTTATAAATTAAAATAATGATCCATTTTAAGTTGGAATAAAACAAAACTATATATAATGATCTCAAACACTTGAAGAATCTAGCAACAAGCCAACAACCATAAATTTAAAGTAGTTTGTAAGCGACATCCAGCAAACTGCAATCATTCTTCTCATAGACTTAAATAATTTGATATTTGCAATTTTGTTTTTGACGAAAATCACTTCTCTCAAAACAGAACATAGCTCAGTTGATGGTAACTGCCGAAGATCTTGATCCTTATTTAATGATTGATTAGTTGTCCTGACATAATATAGTGAATAATAAGTGCATGAATGGTTACAACTTATTTTGAGTAAGCTAAAAAATGAATGTGATTATCTGCAAATTAAATTAATCCAAACGTTCCAACTTAACCTTTTTGTTACATGTTAGAACACAATATTATAAATTTTGCCAAAAAGAGAAAATTCAAGGCAATGATCTTAATCAATGGTACGAAACTAAGTGGGTGTGCTCAATAAGGCTTCACGGGAGCTCAAAGTGATTGTACCAAACGGGAGGAAACTTGCAACTAATAGCAATATCAAGAGGTCACCATAATTTTTCTTCCTTCTTTTTTTTCATAAGCTTGATCATGTTTCTGATTCATTTTTCCCATTTACGAGAAAAAAAAATGAGGATTCATGTTCATCTTAATTTCAATCATAGAGAAGTCAAATACTGTGCATTGCAGATATGAAGAAGTGTCGGGAATGATGATGAAACAAACCTTGTATAAGTTTTCTGATGAACCAACCAAGAGTCCTTGAGCAAATGTTGCACGTTTCTTCCTATACCAAGCTTAGATTGCAGAATGAACAGGAGACTTGAGAGAGGCTACTATTAACAAAGGTTTAATCATCAGTTGACAAAGACTTATTGATGGGAATTGTTGACGAAGACTTGACCTCTATTTAGTTAACTGAGAGTAATGGTGGGGGCACTCATGCATGATGGTGGATCCTAAAATTTCCTTACATTGTCCAATCAAAAGAATTAATAGTATGAACACAACACAAGACAACTTTGTTAAGTTTCACATTACAGGGATTCAAGTATACATCTATATGTACTAGAACTCTAGGTTAAGGCATGGAAGTAACACAACGTCCATCTATAAATGTAGTCTTTTTTTTTTTCCGTGAATTTTGTTCCTTCACCGTATTCTCTTCTGGCAATAGATTTCCTAGAAATTTGGTGCCATGAGGTTCTAAATGGCCATTGATCAAAGAGATAATGGATGCATTATGTTATATTTTTTTTAAAAACAAATTAACAAAAAAAAGTATCCAGCAGGAAGTTAAATACTAATCTTGTAAGATATATTTAAGAGATTAACTTCTCCCAAAATAAATATTTGTCTATAAACACACAACAAAAATTGAATTTGTGACTACATGACTAAGACACAAGATTATTTATCAACTATGTCATACTTTAATAGGAAAGGAAAGGAAAAACATTAATCATGAATGAATGACATTCATGTTCAATGAGAACAAGATAAATACACAAGTGCCTTCTATATGTTACACATAATAAAAACCATATTATGACATTCTATATCTTTAGTTCAGTTAAAATAAATAAAACGTTTGTTTTTCATTAATTATTTAAGAAAATTTAGAAGAAAAAAAAACCCATAAAAATTATATTGTTCCAAACAAGCACCTACAAATTGTCAAATATTCTCTTTTACAAATATTATCTCATCAAACATATGAGATATTAATTTGATAAACATGTTTAGAAGAAGAAATTATAGTTTGAGAAATTCTATGGTACCCATCTTATTTGAGAGGATACCGGTACAGTTTTTTATATTTTATATTTTTAGTAATTTATTTAAATAATATTTATGATATTTTATTCTTTCAATTTTTAAATTATTTAGTCATTTTATTTTTATTTTATATATTCTAATTTATTTGTAATAATATTATTATATATTTAAATAGTTTAATTTTAATAATTTTTTAAGTATATTTTTATCTTTTCACTTAAAATTTTTGAATTTCTATATTTTAATTTTAATAACTTTTTAAGTATATTTTTTGTCTTTTTGTCTTAAATTTTTGAATTTCTATATTATAATTTTAATAACTTTTTATTTCTACTATTTATTAATTTTTTTCTTTTTCTTTAATATTTTATAATATTATTGAAAACTTATAATTTTAATTTCTATAATTTTATTTTACTTTTTATTTTATAAGTATAATTTAGATTATTTATTTTATAATTAAATTAATTTTTATAAAAAAATTTATGAGTTTATATAGAAAAATGTATTGAAACCTCTCCATCTTTGATGGTAGTAGCAACTCCCTTGTTGCTATAGAACGTAGAATCGAGAGGGCCGGAAAATTCGGCGAAGTTGACTGACTTTGTGGGGGAAATTTGAGGCCATGAGTTTAGCGAGCAGCTAGCGGGAGATAGTCGTCGATGGTTGACGGACTTTTACTTTGGTAAAGTTCAAAATAAGAAGTAACTTTCCATGCACGTGTTACATATCTCATGAAACTAAAATTCAAACCAAAAGATTACATCCTATCAATCTCATCAAATTAAAACCAAAAAATTAGATCGGTATAAACAACAGGATCAATTTGGCTTCAAAATGGAAAACTCAATCAGGTTGGTTCCGATCTATGATTTTAAATCTTATTAATCAGAACAATATTCTATTCGATGAATTTAATATTTTATAATCATAATGATTAGTGGAGTATATCCATGTCTAACAGTTATATAATAACTTATAATTTATATTAAATTTTTATGCTTTAATAATTTAATTTAAAATTCTTAATGAATAAATTAATTTTACAATTTTTTTAAAAATTTTGAAAATCATTTGATATTTTATTTCATTAATTTAAATCTGTCAATTTGAATTAATGAAATAAAATATCAAATAATTTTTAAATCTTTTAAAAATTTGTAAACTTGATTTATGCATTAAGAACTTTAAATTGAATGATTTAATTGTTAAAATTTGATATAAAACATGAATTATTAAATAAAATAAGTCTACATAAATTTACTTTTTTTTTTAATCATTTTTTGTCTTCACAATATGTGAACGATTATAATTTTTTGTAACCGCTAATCAACTTTTCTTATGCAACCATTAATCAACTATGAATAACTCATTCACACTGATATGTTTTTTTTTGTTAACAGTTATAAATTATTATCAAATTTGGGCTACCAATAAAAGATGAACAAGGAGTAAGTGGTCCATTCAATTTTTTTTTTTTGTCATTCGTCTCGTATCAAAGGACAAAATGAAACTTAAGTATTTTGTTTGTATTATTGTTAATGTCTCTCATTTAGAAAAATTGAGTACCAATTAGATATTAAGATTTTTGTAGTGTTAATTATAATACTTGGATATTTTGTTAAGTTTATAATGTTGATGATATTTAGTAAATTTGTAAATTTTTTTGGTTCATCCCTGGAGTATCCACCGCCGATAGCAGTGACTAATCTCCTCGCTACATTGGAGGCACCTCAAAGGGTGGAATAGCTGGTCCCAAGATTTAACGCGGCTGCATACACAAGGCAAGATTCGAACCCCTGACCTTAAACACAATTATTTAAGTTTTAATTTAACAATGTTTGTTATTTTTTAAATTTGTAATTTATAATGTTTTAAGTAATATTTTATAAATATTGATAAAAAATTTATAATATTAAATATTTTATCAATTGATGACATAAAAATATATTTTACAAGTTGTCTAGTATAATTTTATTCTACTTTTTATTTCAAGGATAAATCAAAATGGTATAAACCAATCTAAATTGAATATAATTAAATCAAATTAATTCAAATTCAAAATTTAAAAAAAATCGAATCAATCCAATCCCATTAAAATTATACGTGTCAAATCCAATTTAATTAAATTTGTACACACCCGTATAACTCTATAAGTAACTATACCATAGATTAAAAAAAACTGATAACTAACTTTTTTTTTCTTTTAAATTGACCATAGATTTGTAATATTTTAACCGTAAATCAAATATATATTTAGTCGTTGGAGATTAGGTTAAATGTATAGAGGCTTATATTGGATTCTCATTATTATTATTGCAGTATACTTTTGTACTAATAAAAGAAAAGTATTTAATAATTAATCTAAAAGTATATGTTTTTTTACTATAAATTTAAGAAAAAGTGTTTAATGAATGTATTGTTTTAATTTAAAATTTAAAATTTTAACTATAAACTAAAGAATTGAAAAAAAATATTGAATTCTGAATTAAATGTTAAAACTAAAAATTTAAAATAATTTAAAATATCAATTTTTTAACTATATTTTTTAATAACATTATTTTATTTCATGTAATAAATACTAAAATAATTAATATTTTTAGTTTTTAAAAATAATTTAAAATAAATTAAGACAGCACAATAAATAATTATATTGTAAAATAAACTAAAATATGTGATAATTATTTAATAGGAAGCTCACAAAGATAAAAGTTAGTGTAAAATTAAAAAAAAAATGGTATTTTTAGTCTTATTCGAACTTGCAAATAATAGTGTCAAAATAAGTTTCTTATAAATCATAAAAGTTCATCTTATAGATTTTTTTTTTGTTCGAACCCCTGAGCTTGCTTAAGCATGGATCAACTCCTACCGCTGAACCACACGCTTGGGGTTGACCTTATAGATTGATTTGGTGAAAAGAAGTTATATTTTTTTATTAAAATATATATGCCATAAAAGTCTCCAATTACATGAATTAAAAGCTACTTCTTTAAAAAAAAAAAAAATATATATATATATATATATATATATTCTATAAATACGCAGCTTAATTTTTCTAAAGTTCTTTTAAAAAGTGATTGAACGGTCAATTACAGGCAGGTTCGAACTAAAATAATTTAATCTGAAATAAATCAATGCAATAAAAACATATCCATAACTAATCATATAAACTCCATTGGATTGAGCAGCTGGTGGTGGATAAGTCGGGTGGGTTCTCTCAGATTAAAGAGAAAAAAAGAATTTGTAGAAAATCATTGACAAGAAGAGGAAGAAGCCACTTGGGAATATAGAAAATTCGATATAAGATAAACATGAGAAATGTCGTGAAATAATTTTTAAAAAATAAAAATAAATGAAATAATGCAACTCTACATTTTAGCTTTTTACTTGAGCATCATTGATGATAAAAATTCAAGCAAACTCACGTATGGTTGTATGCACCACCACTTCACCTTGCTTTATTGAAGATCATTCTCTAATAGAAGTACAAATTCTATAAACCTGCATAAAGTTATTATAAGAAAATTATCATATAGTGATATATATTTTATAATGACATAAAAATTATCACTAAAAATTACTTTTATTTATATAATAAATATAATATATATTGATATATTATTAAAAAGTATAGACATAGGCTATAATGATATATAAAATATATTATTAAATCTTATTTAAAATTAATATTAAAATTGTGTGTAACTATATGTCAAATAGATATATACTTTCATATAATATAACATTTTTTGTATGTTACTGTATGTAACATTTCTTATAATGAGCTCTTTTTTTGATATTCAAAACATAGGTGAGAAATTGTTGATTATATATGATTTTGTTAGGATTTATTTAAGATTTTTTTCTTTGAAACAATAAAGTTGTTGATTATAAAAGAAATTTCTTTTTTAATTAATGCATTCACATCAAGTGACAAGAGGCTATTGTGATTTCCACTATTCAAGACTTATAAAATAATAAAATATTATACTTTACTCATTTTTAAGAAAAAGTGTTTGAGTGTAGAGTATGATGAAAAAGGGGTGAAAAACAATTAATCAACAACAATAATAAATAAATAAATATAACATAATTGCAACAATCGAATAGGTTTGGTTCTATAGAATGAAAAAAAAAATTAAATCTGCACCCGATTGTAGAAATCCATTGAAATTCATTTTTTCCAGCTCAACAACTTGTGGCCCGCCTGAATCCATCTGTTAAACGTAAATTGAGCTTGATATTAGTTTCATGTGGATTGAAATTTTTTGCTCACTCGTAAATAGGTCTTTAGTCCAAGTGGAATTGGGATTAGTTCTCTTTAGTGAGGTTTTGGTTGTGAAAACGGTATGGGGACCAAGTCAAGTCATACTTGATATAACTGATTAATGAGTAAGACACAAAGGATTAAAATCCTTAATTATGTGCTTGAAGTGTGCATGTGGTATTTAGAGGATAAGCAGTAGACTAATTTTATTTAGATTTTGGTTTATGTATACGAATGTCATGGTTGATTCACGCTCAAATTGTACTATTCATGGTGGTAACATTTTACCTTCCTAATTTAAGTGACAAGATTTGAGAAATCAAACATTGTTTCGTGGTGCAGGTGACCCATTGTTGTTTTGTGGTCCAAGTGACCCGTTGTTGTTTCATGGTCCATAATGACCCGCACTTGTATAAATTCAATAAGATTAAGTTACTTCAATTTCTAACACATTGTAGGAGATCTCCAATTTTGGAATGCATGACGACGAATACGTTGTTAAGTTAAAAAGTTGTCATGTTGCATAAGTTGTAAGTTGTGTGTTATGTTGTAAAATTAATTAAAGTTGAATGTTGCAAATGTTGTGTTTAAACAATAGCATAGAAAAATAATTTTTTAAATAAAATACTTCAAATTATCAATAAGGAAAAAAGTTCATAAAATATTTCCATGTGAATGTTCATAAAAAAGTTCAAAAAGAATCTTGAAAACGTATTTAACAAGAGCAACTTAAATAACAAGGCAAATGTAAATGAATGGGAGTACGCTTCAAGGCCATTACAAAATTCCAAAGAACTTACAAAAGATTCCTAGTCAACATAAACAAATTTTAATGTAGACTTCAAATAATATAAAACATAAATCATAAACTCCAAATCCAAATATCATATCCTATATTAGAGCATACTCTAACCCTAGCCAAGGCATCATGCCTCATCACTGGCATCATAATCATAATGACTTTCACCTGCAAAACACATAACAAAACAACCAACACAAAACAAAGGAGTGAGATACATCTTACTCTGCTCCCTAGTATGAGTAAAGGCTATGTAGCCACACATATAAATATGTCACACAACATACACAAGTGATATTAATAATATAAGTAGTGCAACATAACTATAGGTAATAACAATAATAAGTCAACATAATTCATAAACATTCACAACTCATGCACTTGATACAATGGACACAGATAGATCTATATGCATGTGACACCTGTAAAACTCATGTATAGTGACTCGAAGACTAATACTTATGCACGATGACTTGAAGACTAATACTTATGCACAATGACTCAAAAGCTAAAACTCATATATGGTCATAAAACATTTTATGCACACGATGCATCTCAACACACAAGATTATGTGTAACACTTCCCCTCGTGAGTTCATCTCATACTCATGTCATTTAGTCATCATGCATTCAAAAGTGTTCACATTTCACCACATCACATGGTCCACAGAAAAGCACAAAATGTACTAGCTCACAAAGGTTCACATGTCATAATCCAAGTATAATAATATACATAACATCTTCCAATAATACCTCAAATAGATTCATTATGAGATCCTCCATTGTTATTATGATTATAAATAATTAACTTAATCACTTTCATATAATTTTTAATACTAAAGGTCGTATCCTTAAGTTAATTGTAATCAAATTTATCTCAAAATCACAATTATAAATTCATCTTATCATATATAAAATATTTTAACCATAGTCACTAGCAAGTCAACATCAACTAAGCATTTTAATCAACAACATAACTAGTCTCACAACATTATTAATATCATACATTAATTTCTTAGGCATCGCTATTACCAAAACATATCAAATTACAAACAATCAACTCAAATCGTTACTTATTCACAAATGTTGTCTCCCACAATTTTATTTTTCTTACTTATTGATATTGGTATTTCAAATCATTCCTAAGATTAAGTACTTAAATGTTAAAACAATTACCATCACCACCTGCAAACTATCTTTTTGTTACTTAATCTTCTATGACCTCATGTGGTCTAAACACAATATCTAGAGCTACATCTATGCTATCAACTTAACCTTAATTTTGTTAGAAATTTAAGATACTATAACTACTATATTGACCTCAAGAGTTGATTTTGTTAGTAACATTTAAGCTTAAATTTGACAGGTCAACCTTTGTTTACTAATTTGATCATAACATGAATTTTAGACTTCTTTTTTGTGATTCCAATGTCATTAGAAAGTTAAGATCCAAGGATACAATTCTTATGAAAATCAGAAAACCTAATTCGATCATATAATATACTTAATTAGGCATGCAACTTCCAATATGAATTAAAACATGATATAAGGGTTTCAACTCATCCTTAACTTAATTATTCAACAAATTTAATTTCCAAATCATTCTAGTAAGTCAAGTAAAAATATTGAAGCTTGATATTTTTCTGATTCTTTCTAGCATTCTTAATTACTTAATTAATACTTCAATTGCCCAATCTTTAGTTATATTATTCAATTTTCATCTATCTATAAATTGAGGTTTTCTACAAGAACATAAAAACTCTCATAAAGATTCATAATATCACACGCAAAGCAAAACATTCATTCAAGGATATTCATGTTATTAAAACTCGATGTAGGTTGTTAACATACTTCAAAATATAAAATTAGGTATGAGAATGTTAGCAATCTCTCTCTCACACACAGACGCGCGCGCGCGCGCACACACACACACACACACACATATATATATATATATATATATATATATATATATATATATATAACAGGTTTAATAATTATGTAATGTCAATATAATTTTTTTTATAAAGTTAATTAATCAAAAATCATGATTTTTATGACTTTTAAAATATTTATTATAAAAACTAATAAATTTATTATTCATGTGAATTATGATTAATTGTAGAACTGTTTTACATCATTAATGCATTACCATTAAATTCATAAATAAAAAAAAATTATACTTGTGATGATGAAAATTTCATCTAAATTGTATATTTAAATTATAGAATAAAAATATATTAATAAAAAATTGTGACATGTCTATGACTTTTTTTTTAATGAATGAGAAGAATTTGACTATAAATATATCATAAAATTATCAAACAAAATTTATACATGTTCCATAAATTTTACTTTATAACAATATTACACAACAAACGGTAGTATTTTAATTTATTATTATTATATTTTTAATTTAATTAGACTGTATATACTAGTAGTACTGTATAAATATTTTTACATTATTATTATCTAATAATAAATTAACATGTATGATACATTTATTAAGTTTTTTAAAAGCAAAATTATAAGAGAGAGGCACGTGAGTTTTGTTATTGTTAGGATTTTTTCCAAATTGGACTGAGATTTCGAAGAGGTTAACTTTGTACATTTCATTCAAAGCCATCATCGAACCGAGAGAAGAAGTAGAACACTGACCCTCACCGTCACGTTTCAGCCACCAAACCCCACAAACACAGTATTCCCAACTTCTTATTATTATTTATACGCTAAACAAAACACAACAACACCACCAACATCATTTGACCAAATACATTGCTGTTTACAATTTTCAATTCATTCTAAGGTAAGATTCCATGGCATCATTCCCTTAGCTTTATCTTTTTGTTTTTTTTTTTTTGTTCTCCTATGCTTGTGAGTTTTGCCTTGAATTTTCAACAATGAAAATTCTCCTTTTTACTTATTAATTATTGTTACTGTTATCATTGTTGTTGTTGTTGTTTTGCAGTGTTTTGGTTTGGCATAAATAAACCTTTCGAGATCTCAGAGGGGCAGAAGATCAAAGCTAAGACACACTCATATATAAAGAGTGTCTCTGATTTTATCTTTGTTTCTTTTTCCCTCGAGATTTTTTAGCACCCCACCAAGGTTTTGTCAGACAAGTTTTAATTTTTCGCTTACCCTTTACAATGATTTCTTCGTTGAGACAACCTGTTATAGGGATCACTGGCTCTGATCTTGTTTTGAGGCAAAGACATGCCACCCCAATTAAGGCAAGGGCGTTTTTACCTTCTCTGTCAAGAGAAAAGACTCAAAGATCTCTGGTTTCAGTGCAAAAGCCACTGCACATTGTTTCTCTTGGTGTTGGGAATTTTGTGCCAGTGAAGGATGATGAAAGGGGTGATTTGGTGAAGTGTGGAGCCTATGAGGCTGACAGATCAGAGGTTGAGGCTGCAAGCACACCATCAGAGGCTGCAAAGAAGGTGAAAATTGGGATATATTTTGCAACCTGGTGGGCTCTGAATGTGGTGTTCAATATTTATAACAAGAAGGTTTTGAATGCCTACCCTTACCCTTGGCTGACTTCAACTCTCTCACTTGCCTGTGGCTCTCTCATGATGTTGATCTCTTGGGCCACTAGGATTGCAGAAGCACCCAAGACGGATCTTGAGTTTTGGAAGTCTTTGTTCCCTGTAAGTTTTGAATTGGGTTTTGTTTGTTTGTTGAGGAAAGAAATTTGATGGGAGGAAGTGAAAGCTTTGTTTTGTTTGCTCATGTGCTTTTTGTTATGAGAAAAATATGTTTTTGTTGTTAGCAATTTTGGATACGTATATGTTGGTTGATTCCAGAAAAAAACAAAGTGGTGAAAATTTAGTCTGTTCCATTCAAACCTTGTGGCTGAATTGGACAGAATTAATTTTGAAAGAGTGATAGTTTGACAATTAGCGAAGTTTCTTCCTTCCCCATCCCCTCCCCTCCCAAAAAGAAAACCTTTAAATTTTTGGTATTAATAATGGATTCAAAAAAGTTATTGATCAATTTGGTCATTCTTTTCTATTTATTTATTTATTTATCATTTTGAATGGTACTGACTTTAGTCTTTGTTTCTCCTTCAGGTTGCTGTTGCACATACAATAGGACATGTAGCGGCAACTGTTAGTATGTCTAAAGTTGCAGTATCATTTACACATATTATCAAGAGTGGTGAGCCTGCTTTCAGTGTCCTGGTTTCAAGATTTATTTTGGGTGAGACCTTCCCTGTGCCAGTCTATCTGTCTTTACTTCCAATCATTGGTGGATGTGCACTTGCTGCTGTGACCGAGCTCAATTTCAATATGACTGGTAATCAACTTGTCCTTTGAAGAAATTTTTTTCATTTTTAATCTTGTTGAGCATAATAATAAGTTGGATATAGAATGATCAACAGACATGAATTTTCAATGTGACTCGAAAGTTGATGATTTGTGTTTGTTTAATTAATTGGCCTATGGTAATATCATTTTTTTTTTCTTTTATTGTTAGTGAACTGGCCTTTTACTGCACTTTGTTGTCTATTCTTGCATGAGTTTATCCATCAAGTGCAAGGGTGATTTGCTTGTAATTTACTCATGTAATGACGGCATTAGAGGCTATTTGTGCTGGAATGTATTTCTCAACTTTAATCTCATTGAATTGTTTTTCCAGGTTTTATGGGGGCTATGATATCAAATTTGGCATTTGTATTCCGTAATATATTTTCAAAAAAGGGCATGAAGGGAAAGTCTGTCAGTGGAATGAATTACTATGCTTGTTTATCTATTTTGTCCCTTGCAATTCTCACGCCCTTCGCAATTGCCGTGGAAGGACCACAGCTGTGGGCTGCTGGATATCAAACAGCCATCTCTCAAATTGGACCCCAATTCATATGGTAATGTCAAGAAGAAGACTACTTACTGTAATGTTATCCTTATTGTGTTTGTTATCATGATTGCATTCTTCTCTATCTGTATGCACGATATAAACACTTTATTCTGTTGGGGATCCTATATTAGAAGCTTTATTTAGTTGGCTTCCTTTATTTCTTTATCCTTTATAAATTGGAGAAATTAAGAACTAACTCGAGTTTTGATGCATATAGAATGCACGAGAACATTTATTGCTTGCTAGAATTATGCCAATTGTCAACTTCTTCAGTCTTTTCTGCCTCAATCGATGATCTTTCCTCATGGTAATTTGAGATTGTGGGCCGATTGTTTGTCCAAGACTCAATGGACTAATTATCAAATACCTGATTTCATACATGTTAATGTAATTTGATTGAAAGGCTAAACCTTTCAGTTCAGTTCACTGTGACATCAATGATACCTGATTAATGTGTTTGAATATTGTAACAGAAGCACAGAACTATGTGTATTTTTTTCATCATTCTGATCGAGTTCAGTTATCATCCTCCATCTTTTTGTTCTGAGCTTCTGCACTTCTCCATATTATTATGACTAAATGTATGGCTGTTAATTGTTCACTGCAGGTGGGTAGCAGCTCAAAGTGTATTCTATCATCTGTACAATCAGGTGTCATACATGTCTCTGGATGAGATCTCTCCCTTGACATTTAGCATTGGAAACACCATGAAACGTATATCTGTCATAGTGTCTTCCATTATTATCTTCCACACACCGGTTCAACCCATCAACGCTCTTGGTGCTGCCATTGCTATCCTCGGAACCTTCTTATACTCACAGGTATTCCATATTATTTACTACCCAAAGAAAAATGCTATTTATACTTGAAACGTCAAACACACTTATATTACATAGAGAGAATGTGTTTAGGGAGATTTTTTGTGCTTATCCATGTGAAATGGAACCTCAAATTGGCAAACCCTTTTAAACTATGATTTTCTATATAAAAGGGAATTTTGATTCTGCAAGGGACAAAACTTACTGTTGGTAGAGTTTCACTTTGACAATATACATTCAATGTAGATCTCATTAATATGCATTTACATATATTATCAAGGTGATATTCTAATTCTGATTGGAGGACAACACCTATGATATTGTACCTATGTTTTGTCCTTTTAGTAGAAGTTTACAATGGAGAAAAAGTTGGTTGATAGGGTGGAGTTGGTTATCAATGTGCCTCATGTTTTGCATTCTCATAGGGATGCTATTCTGAAGTTAGGTGATCCTGTATTTTATTGGTGGCTAAACTTTGAATTGCCACCTAACTCCTTTTGTTTCGAACATTGAACCTACCTTATTCCTTTTCCAAGTCAATTTCCACATAAGTTAGCTTACCTTGTAGACCTTCCAAAGTTGACCACACCAAATACTTGAGCACGTTCTTTGGTTCATTCCTTCACAGTGAGGCTTCTGATAGGAGCATCTATGGTATGTATCTTGAAAGTAGTTGCCATGTGAGTGATGGAGAAAAAGAAGGGTTTGAAACAAAGTAGAATATTGATTAGATTATGCGCGTTCATTAAAGATAATATGCATTTTTCTTTCTGAAATGATGTTTTTGTTTGGTAGGTATACTTATTCTTATTTATTGTTCCACTATTTCTGCAGGCAAAACAATAGAGTTAGGGAACTAAGATTCCTCTAGGCACTTGTTTGTTAATGTTCTTCATGCTCAACAAGGGACAAGGAAGTTGTTGATTTTGAAATATGTCACTGCTGGATTTTTGTAAGACTAGGATTATCTGGCTGCTGGTCCATCTGTAGATATAATAATAAGAATAATGTTGCTGAGGAAACATTATCAAAATACAGATGATTAGGTAGATTTTTTTCCTGTTTTTTTTTTCTCTCTCTGATTTCTTAAGTGGCAGTGAGTTGAAATAAATATTTTTTGTTTATATGGTCTGAGAATAATTTCTCAAAACATTGTTTACTACAAGGAGCTTGGAATAATGTGATGCATATGATCAAGTTGATGCTCACTTGTTATGATTTACTAAATACTATTTCAGTCTCATAATAAGCATTGTTTTGGGTTTATTTACATAAGAAAAGGTAAAAGATAGATAATTTTTTTTTTTACAAAAATAGTTTTATTTATTTATTTATTTTTACCAAAAATGATGTAATAAAATAATTTTCTAAATAATTTGTCGTAAAATTGTTCTCAAAGTGAGAAATCATCATTCTCCAAGTTAGGTGATTTTTCATATGTATGATTTTCATAACTCATATTTCAAGCATGAAAAAAGTTTGGTATAATACCAAACACTGGTTTAATATTTTGGGGGCAATGTGGTCCTCTCATTTATGTCCTTTGACCCTTTCCATGTGATGTGTTAGCTTTGTGTAGTGAGAAAGCGACTCTTTGCTTTTCAAAAGGACATGTTCCCATTGTGCATGTCTTGGTTCAGTGTTGATATTTGCATATTAATTAACATAATAATTAATAAGAGAATATTCGAGTATAAATTGAGGATGCCAGGCATATCATTTCAGTTTATTCGAGGCCTAGCTTGAGATAGGGTGTTTGCATTATGTCAACATCAATTCTATATTACATTGTAAGTAACTATTTATTTCTTATCTTTTGTAGTTATGTTTGGTAAATATATACTACCTCCTCTCAAATTATAAGCACAAATCATTACTATTAAGAAAAATAATTAATATAATTATTTTTAATTTATTCTACTATAAATTTAAGTTTTATTTTTAATATTATTATTAAAAAATTTCTTGTAGTGATCACTCAATAGTGATATAGTAGTTGTTACTAAAAAAATATTTTTACTCATAATTATATTCTCATAATTGTTAAAGACATAATATAAATTATAGTGATATACTGTTTCTAAATCTTAATCAAGATTAATACTGAAATTGTGTATAGATATATGTTCAATAAATTTATATCCTATATATATTATATTTATGGTGACAATTTTTTGTATGTCATAATATTTCTAGTATATAAGATTTATTTGAAGTAGTTGTTATATTTAATGTTAGGTATAAGTAAATATATATGAAATAGAGTTAACAATAAAGGAAGGGTATGAAAGAAAAAAAAAACCATTTAAAAATTGATGATTATTGTTTATAATTAAAATCATAAAAAATTTTAATTTAATGTTTACAATTAAGAATAGTATAATATAGAAAATAATATAATCGAAGGTTAAAAAGTTAAGTTTTTAAAAAAGTGAAAGTTGATAACTTACTGATTTGGAATATTCAATAAAGTAGTTGAAGTAATTGATAAATAAAAAAAATGTACACTTATATTATTTTTTATATATAATTTTAAGTTTATTAGTTAATTTTGAATTTTTATAATTTTTTTAACAAAGCTCTTATAACTTTATGAAGTATTTTATTAATTTCAAAATAAATAATGTACTGTTAAAAGACGGAGTAAATAAGGAATTTTGTTTAACCATCCAGGGTAAAAATAAAGAAATTAACAAATTATAAGTTATAAATTCAAACGTTACTTTAAGTAATATTTGAAAAATATTATAATTTAATTATACATGCTTGTTTATCAAATCCATCTATTTTAACGAATAAAAAAAATCAATCTATTTTGGTCTAATAAGCTATAAATTATTCAATAAACAAAAATTAGTTGAATAGATTTACTAAACAAATTCATATACATGCATCTGAAAAATGATTTCTAATGCAAAAAGTACAACCAAAATTTTCCTATTATAGTTGTATAAAAGCATTATTTTAAGATTCTTAACAAGTTAATTAAAAATCATGATCTAAATGGTAGAATTAACGTGATTTTACACTGTTTTTAGCTAAATCACATTTTTATCCATAAAGTGTGTTAATTAAAAATGAGTTCTTGAAACTAAGAAAATTTTAAATAAATTCTTGAAATTTTAGATTATTCTATTTAAGTCCGTAAATTAAATTAGGAAATTAAGGATATCTTTTATAGCACCTTCATTCATGAAAACACTATAGACAAAATAACTAAAGACAAAATAATATGGAAAACCTCTCCCACCAGAGATTACACTGCCAGCACTGCATACAAATGGCTCTATAGAAACAACAATGACTAGAGTAGGACCAACAACATGTCCTGGATTTGCTCTCTCAAGATCCTTGATAATATAAAGCACTTCTTATGGCTAGTTTTCATAAATTACCTTCCTAACAAGCTATTTCTCTTCCAATCCAAGATGTAAAAATCATAATCAACATTGGCTCCACCTTCTTAAAGATTGTCATGACTCTCAACAAGTCTGGAGCTACTATCAATTCGAATTCCCTACAACAACTAATCTAGCAGAATGGCTCCATCAAAACCTTCTGGGAAATAAAAGTCAGCTTTTTGCCAACATTTGCTGCCATCTTTGGAAATCTAGAAATGATATCATTTTTCACAACAAAAGTTGGTCTTTTTGGAGGCTCTTAAACTTGATTAATTCATCCCTACAAGCTATACATGGTTTTAAATTGCGGTCCGCAACACGTATTGCAGCCGCAATATTGCTGTTGCGACCTTGTCCGCAACGGCATCGGACCGCAATTGCAGTGAGACTGGAAATCACACATTTTTCCGCAATGTAAAGGTGTTGCGTCCGTAACACATCTGAAATGCACCGTAATACATCTGCAATACGACAAATTGATACTATAATTCATCCCTACAAGCTATTATACAAGCAGTGTTTCCTATTATCACTTCCAACAAACAACTTCCAAGTGTTAAGTGACACCCACCTCAAGAAATGTTTTTCAAACTTAATACGGATGGCAGCTCACATGGTAATTCGGGAAAAGCTAGCTTTGGTGGTGTTCTCAGGAACTCATCTAGTTAGTGGCTCATTGGATTCACAAGAGCTTGTGATCTTAACTCTTCACTTACGACTGAACTTCACACTATATACAATGGTTTAAAGATCGTTTGATAGGAAAGCTATCGACATTTCATATGCGAATATAATTATGAAAATAGGTTAGTTTTACTAGACTTGAGTTTGACTTTATAAAAACTGCATAGCTTGAGTCAGATATGTCATTTTAAAAAGCCTAAATTGAACTATGTAAAAGTCTGATATAGCTTATAAATCTGTTTAGAAGCTTACTTTGTTATAATTCAACGCTAAAATAAAAGTGAAAATAAATATGTAGATTTTATAAGAATTGAGTGAAATATAAACATGTTTTAAGGTTTCTACAGACTTTCAAATTCCTTAGATATATTAAGTCTAATATATGTTCATAAACTTAATATTATAGTGGGTAACCATTTACAAAACACTGTATAAGAATATTGACATGATTGTTGAACTAGTTGTATACATCTCACAAATGCATAATCGCATTTTATTATACCTGAAAAAAAAGATTTGTAACTATATGTGAAATGCATACCTGTTATTTTATTAAAATAAGTGGTGTAAGAATGATGATATTGACATCAGTTTATTATTCGCATTTATAAATCAGTGTACATCTACTCAGTTTATTATATAATAATAACAATTTAATCGATGAAATTAATATTACATTAAAAATATAAATTATTTTCTTAACTGACATTCAATAATAGGATATCATCTATGATAAGATTATTAACTTAATTTAATAATAACTATATTTTAAAGCAATGTCCATAATCATTATTAACTAATTAATAATTTAATAAAAATTTAATGGTCATATTGTCAATATAATTTTTTTTTAATATATAATTAATCAATCAAAACCCATGATTAATATAACTTTGATAATTATTGTAAAAATTAACGAACTTATCATTTATAATAAACTATGACTGAATGTTTACGTACGTTGTCGGTATAATAGTATTAAACTGATTAAAAAACCTATACAATAATATTGCATAAAGATTAAATTCTAGGAAAATTCATATAAGAGCACAATTTATTTCAATAGAATGGTAAAAAAGAAAAAAAAAGAGTAATGAGAGACAGAAAGAGAGCTGAACCAGTTCCATGTAGACTAGCTGTGTCCATTTACTTCAGTCACGAAGATCCATATTCATACTTGATGTTCCATGCAATTGTAGAGAGGGTAGAAGAATGTGTATAGAGCAAGTGACAAGAACCCTTGTCTGATAATTTTGTATTCTGATGAAGGCCCTTGAAGCCATTCTAAGAGGTGCAAGAAATGGTGAACCAAACTGTTGCAGAAACATTTGAAGGGGCTGTTGTGGATGATGTTTTTGAGATTCAACTTGAAGCCCCAATTAAATGGTCTTTTTTTGTGTGGATAAGGTTTCCCTCACAAGAAGCCAGAATTAGAATGTGGGTCACTGTGTACCAATTCAAGAACTTAGTCAATGGGCCTTTAGTTTGAGGGTAATTATTTGAAAGTCCATGCTGTTTACACCCCCTCTTTTTGTTTGTTCTTTGCACCCTTCATCAGTTATTTTTATTTTTATTTTTACAAAAATACGCTTCATGGAAACTATAGTTCCTACAGAATATTTTTTGGAAAAAGTTTGACTCAACACTTTTTATTTTATGTGATGTAAATTTGAGTCAATTTGTTGCTGTGATGTAAATTTTACATTACAAGAACCAGTTTGTGTAGGATATGTGAAAAGAGAAAGGAAAAAAAAAATGAAAGATCAAGATGAGAGGGGAAGGGTGAAATTGAGAGAAAGAAAGAGGAGGGTGCACAAGGAAAGGGGGAGAATGGGGATATTTTGAAAAACTAAATTAAACGGTTTTTGGATATTCTTAGATATTCTTTTAGATAATAGTATATAAATCACTTCTATAAGAACATCAAAATGATTGTTATAGATGATATTTATACACCTCTTATTATACTTGGAATGTAAAATAAAGAAGTGTTTATTTTATTTTATTATTTTAAAAGGTGGTATAATGAATGATAAGAATAATGCTATTCACACATTATTTCATGTCAGTTTGTTTTTTAGTATTACAAAAACGATATAGTATTAATGTAAATAATAAGAATAATGCTATATACACATACATTATTTCATGTTATGTCATTTTACTATCAATTCATTTTTCATGATATCAATATAAATAATAAAAATGATGTCATATACACACACATTATATCACATCAACTCATTTTACATTTTGCTCAATTTTCATAATATTAATGTAAATGATAAGAATAATGTTATCCACACATATAATAAATGACGACAACTCATTTTTGAGTCTCACAGTTAATCTTGTCTTTTTTACTTATATTTCTTTTACCTTAATCATTACCAAAGATGTTATATTAGTCTCTATATCTAATATTTTATCTTAGCTTATTTATTAACGTGTTTTTTTCTCCTTAAAAAGATGTGTTTTATTATTCTCTATATAAATATTTTACCTTATATAACCATTTATTTTTACCCTTCAATTTGAAAAATGAACTAAAATGATGTCAATATGTTTTTTATACATCTTTCGTTTTAAGGACTTTTTGAAATATTTATAAAAATAAAAAAATATCAAATCTTCGATGAGTATAATAAATACGTAAAGTTTTTTTTTTATAATGAAAGCTTGTTAGCCACCTAATGTTTAGATGAAGAAGAGGACATAGATTTTAGTCATGTTTGTATAGAATATTTTTAAAACGAGAGGGAAAAAATTACTTTATTCTTCAAAACACTCTTTATGAAGGTTTTAAAGTTTTAAATTATGAAGAATTCTTAATATCGAAAGTGGGAAACAATAAAACACTAGGTGGTCGCTCTTGTTGCAAAATTAGAGAAGGGTTCAAAATAAACAGATTTATCAATAATATACTATCATAATACTGGTATACAAAAACACAAACGAATTCAGGTGTTGGTAAGGGAAGAAAATGAAAGAGATCCAGGAAATTGTTTTTGAAAAAGACATGATTTATAACCAAGTTTTCACTCTTTAAAATACGACGAAAACCGTGTGCAAAAACTTGCACCGTTAGAAAAAGTTATAATTAAATATTTTTGGTCTTCCAATTCTCCTTTTAGTCCTCAAACAAAATTTTTAACTAGTATTAATTTCAAAACTTTTTTTTTTGTTAAGTCTTGTGAGAATAACACATTTCATTAATTTTGTTTGCTCACACTAATTAGGAGATCAAATTCGAAATCCTTTGTATACAAATTTTCAAAGAAATTAGTAGTTGATTCTAACTTTATATGAAATTGTATCTTGTATTAATTTAAACTCTTATATAACAAAAAAAAAAAAAAACTTTTCTTTCATTAATATTTTCAATCCTTACCATCAAGTATCATCACACAATTAAGTGTGGTGTGATAATTAAGTTAAGAATAACTTCATTTACTGTGTCACCAACTAATATAATACAATAGTGTTATCTATTTTTATGTTTTTTTTTTATAATGATGTTTAGTTTCTCATCTTTTCATAAAATTCACTTTTAATCACATTTTTTTATTATTATTATTTGGTTCGAGATTTTCTATTAGTCAACAAATGTCTAGAACAATATTGCTGGATTATAGTTCTAGATATCATATATATATTTTCTACTAGTTGCAACGTCACTTTTAACGTCTTAATAGCATCTTAATAACTAGAAAGCATCATAGTTTTAGTAGTTTTGGATTATAGCACCTTAACTAAAAAAAATCATTTTTTAAATAATTTTGGATTATATTTTAGTGATTTATTGATTTATATAGTGAAGGTTGTTGATTTAACTCATTGCAGCACCTTTTTTTTTCTTTCAAATTTCGAAACTCATTTTTTTTAACTAAAAACAATACCAAACAATAATTGAGGAACTAGAACTAATAAAATTATTGAAGAACTATCAGTAAATTTCATAAAAAGATAAAACACTAAAATCAGTTAGTTAAAAAGTTGTTAGAAATTAAAAGTAAAATTTGTATAAAAAACAAGACTACAAACATCATTTAAAAAGAAAAAAAAAGGATATGCAATTAGCAAACCATATTAGTTAATAATGTGATAGATGACATGACAAACAATGTAACTGATACGTCATCATTTAACAGAAACACTTAACGAGAGAGACTTAAAAATATTAACAAAAGAAAAAGTTTAAAGAATAAAACCAATTAAAATTTATTTACGGAATAAAAATGAAATTTGAAAAAATTTTAAGAACTAAACATTTAATCTGAATATTTACAATAATAACAGCATAATCTTGTTCCAATAATATACAAAATATGCTATAAGTCTTTAAAAATATGTAATCCACACCACAAACATATTAACTCTAAGCAGTTTGGTGATTTTGTCACATCCAAGCTTCAACATTAAAATATTATCACTCAAAAGAATAATTCTTTTTCTTTTTCTTCCAGGTGTGCACCACCAAGCCCCTTAGGAAGCAAATTATTTAATTTATTCCATTGTCAATGTTAAACCATAACCATTAGATATGCAAACTTGTTTAACTCTAATGCTTCAAGTTCATGCATACTAGTTTTATTGCAAAACTTTTATTACAACATAAACTATGTTTATTAAGGATTGAATAGAAACAGTTCTGTGGTGCAGATATACAAGGTTATTTTAACTTGGTTTAACAACAAATTGTACTAATCCTGTCTCTATATATGAAAATGAAGCTCACACAGCAGCCAACCCACACAAGTACAAGACCCTTTCAAACCTTCAAGTACTTGATAGCAGTTTGAACATCCTTATCACCTCGACCACTGAAGTTAACCACAACCTTTGTTCCATTAGGAAGGGTTGGACAGATTTTCTCTAGATATGCCAATGCATGAGATGTTTCCAAAGCTGGGATTATGCCTTCAAGTCGCGAAACTCTCTTGAAAGCTACATGTACAAAAAGTAATAAACATCCGAAAGTAAGATAGAGAAACAATAATATCTGATAAAAGAGAAGCATTTGTATCTAACCACAAAACAAGTTATATGCATGTTGTTCAATACTATATGATGGAAAATGGCAAGATGATGCGAATACAATAGAAATATGAGTACTATCATACTTACCCACTTTTAATATTCCCATCACTGCCTATGTTTTATGTTATAGCAGAATTCATATCTGTATTCAGAAAGCATACATACGTCTAGGAGATATGAGATCAGCAGGGAGATTACTTAAAAGTCAGTAATTATAGCTTTGTGACATTGATTTTTTTACTAGTAGAAAATAGACAGCAATAAGGTTCGAACTTAGAATCTTATATATATCATCCCAACTTTCTACCATTAAGCCAACTTTAATAGTTCAGGTTTGTAACATTGATCAGTAGCAACTCAGTTCTAGACGTTTGAAACTCCCAGAAAGTAGTATTGAATATGTTTTTGGTTCCTAAAAATACCTCAAATTATAGTTTGACCTTCTAAAATTTTATTCATTTTTAGGTCCTACAATTAACAAAATAATGTGGTTTTTTCCCATCACTAGGGACTAAAAACATCGGTGATGAGGGACTAAAACCACATCATTTTGTTAAATGCAAGGACTAAAAATGAATAACATTATTATAGAAATTGAAACAAAAAATTGTGATGTTATCAAATACCACAAACATAATTAAACATAGAAATCACCCAATACCTTTTGCACACATACAAATTACAAGTAGATAGGAAATTTAGATTTCAAGTTCATAAAATCAAGCACCAGAACAATTCGAAGTAAACTAAAGACAGAAATGTGAAGAACTAGATGGCATTTAACAAAACAGATGGACATCACTTTTAGATTATAGAACACCTCAGTCTATATAAAACTTAAGCAGAACAAGGCCCAATAAAACCTGAGGGAAGACCAGATCAAGATTATTGGAATAATATAGTAAATAATTTTTGAACAAGTGATTGAGATGAGAGTTATCATTCACATATATCTAACATTTATGAAAGACAATTGCAAAAAATCAGTGTATGCCAATACAAAATTCACATATGCCAACTGCAATTCAAAATCCATGCATTTTTCACATAAATGTGTAATCACATATTACATTATAAAAAAAGAAGCTCAAGGTAGCCCTACCTTCCAATGCTTCTCCATCAGTGATGCTATGATATTCAGCACGCCCTAAATCTTTCAGAAAGCTATGTTCAGGACCAACACCAGGATAGTCCAAACTGCACAGTTTTTTTGATGTTGAAAACATAATTACTTGATCAGAACAAGCAAAATCGCAAAAGACACAAGACAACTGATATAACAAATAATCAATAAGATGAATTACCCTGCACTAATAGAGTGAGGCTCAACTATTTGTCCATCTTCATCTTGCAGCAGATAGCTCATAGCTCCATGCAAAACCCCAACTTCTCCCTTTGTTAATGTTGCAGCATGCTTGCCACTGTCCACGCCAAATCCAGCAGCCTCCACACCAATTAGCCTAACATCTTTGTCATCAACAAATTCATGGAAAATTCCCATGGCATTTGAACCTCCTCCGATACATGCAATCAGAATATCTGGTTTCCCTCCCCATTTTTCCAAAGCTTGTTTTCTGGTCTCCTTGCCAATAACAGCATGAAACTCTCTTACCATCATTGGATATGGATGCGGCCCAGCAACAGAACCCAAAATATAATGAGTTGTCTCCACGTTAGTCACCCAGTCCCTTATAGCCTCCGATGTAGCATCTTTAAGTGTGGCAGTCCCAGAATGTACTGCTCTCACCTATATTACAAGAGTATCCTATTAGATAGACCAATGTACAGAGCACATTTTTCAAATGTAGACAGATCTTTTAAATTCAATGTATAGCAACTAGATTTGGACACACATGAAGAAGTCACATCACAACACTCCGTGCATTGTAGATAGAGAGCATACAGTTTCCCAGATTAACAATGTAATAAGTCAATCTAAGTGTTTTTTAAGATAATTAAATCAACACTTAGTCTTTGGATGCTACAATTACTCAAATACAGCAAATTATATAATATGATGATGATTTTTTTTCATTTGCTTATAACATTCTCATGTCAGTGTCATTGTCTCGTCCCAAATCTTACAGTCCTTTTCTTTTATCATGTTTTTTTAGCGTGATGCATACACTGTAACGAATAAAATAAAACTCCAGAAAATAGCATATATCAAATAAGCCGTTGGATCAGAAAAAAGTGTTCACAATTTTTTTTTAAAATATTGGTGTATAGGAATAAAACCTCAGTTTTCATAACAAACAATATACTTTCAGAATACTCATAAATTATTCTGTGAATAAAATAGTTCAGCTGATGATTACATTATAGAACAAAGCAGCATGTTCAATTTACTTTATCCATAAGTCAACAACATAAGAAATTGCTTAGAGAGAAAAGGTATCTTCAAAAGACCAGATATAGGATATATCAACCTAACTTCTCTGAAGAAATGTTCATGGAAACTACCTTCTAACTGAACCCAAGTGTGTATCGAATTCGGGGTCAAGGTTGTGAACCATGTAAAAGCGTGTTTAGTCAATGAACTTGGAAAATATTTCATTTTTAAATACTCATTATTTGTCAAATCCCCACATTCGACTCCATACCTAGCTATGTGTTCGACTGTTGACTCAGTTAACTCTCCCGCAAATTTTGAAAACTTTGGTACTTTTATTCCTCGAGGTAGTTCTACTTGAGTTATATAATCTGGGAAGGCTGACACAAAATAAGGTCGTTCATTTTGACCTACATCGAATCCGTGTCTATTCAGTATTCTTTCTACCATTTGATCTAAGTTGTCTTATGGATTCCTATTAGGTCGAACTGCGTTCTGATGAAAATTCTCATTCCCTCCAGGATTTTCCATTTCATTCAGATTCACACTCATGCCTCTCGAAGGTGTCCCATCACCTAATTTGTCTCCTATTTTATTTATCAATTCATACAGAGGAGTCATAATATTATGCATTTGCGTTGACAACAAATTAACCATGTCATGATTACTATGGTCCATTTGTTGTCGAAGAGCCATCATGGCTTGGTTACTAATACCCGTAGGTACATAAGTGCCTTGTCTAATCAGAGAACCCTCCTGACTTGTTCCTACACGTTGATATGGGTCATGCATAACAAAACCCATGCCATTTGGCCCAGGATTATATCCCTGTGGGGATACATGCATTTGTGAATTGGGTCCTATTAACGGTATTGGCATTTCGACATGCACAGGTTGGGTATTTCGCCAATTCTGTGGCATACCCCAGGGATATTCCCTAGTGACATTCGCTAGTTCCTGAGTAACATTTGTTTGCCTAGCTGTGTTTTCGAGTAACACAGGGGATGAAGACGTTGCCCCCC